TTTTAAACCCAAAAATTCCCTCGTATCGAAAGATTAGGGATTGGGTATTTAGATGCCTTGCTGGTATATATAGTCACTTGGATCGAACGAGACGGACTGTTTGAAATTTGGCTTTATTGTTGAGAATTGGAAAACACTACTGAATAGCCGGTCTGATGTAGCCGTGAACTGGGTTAGACGCAATTGTAATGAGACCGTCTATTGTATTGCAAGGACTTCTCGTGAATTTTTGTTTTTTTTAACGTATCGAGAGGCTCTCACCAAATATTGTTATTTTGTTTGAGTAATAAGTTTTAACGAAGTTTTTTTTTTTTTTTTTAAAAAAAAATGTAAATGTTGAAAAATTTGTCCATTAAAATCTTGGTGAATGCATATCTGCCGGTGGGTGGAAGTAAGGTTTTTATGGGGCCTTACTCATGTACTTTCTCCCACTGTCCTGTTATCGTATGCCACGTGTCCAATGACTAATCCTGGCCTTGATTGGATGGAACTCCCCATACACGTCACGTGATCAACGCACTAAATTGTCCCCCCCCCCCACCCCCAAAATGTACTCTTTTAGAAAACTATTTGTTGGGCCCCTTGGATATTTCTATCCGGGCCCACTAAAGGCGAGAGAAACGTAAAGCTCTTTATTTTGCGGGGGAAAATCTCTTGCATGATAATATTGACCAGATCAGATGGGCTGATCAGACCACATATTGATTTTGTGGGTCCCTCCAGCCAGCCATCGCCTGCAGAACGGGGCGGCTAAAACGTCGTCGCTTAATGGGTAATTAGCATTTTTTTTTTTTTTTATAAAGATAATTAATTAGGATTCGATCAAATCATTAGATTAAGAAAAAGATCAACACTATATTACATGATTTGCATTGATTACTCATAATTTTGAGGAGCCAAATTTTAATTATGTATGTTTCTGAAATTGGGTGTCCCCCGCCACCCTAACTTTAAAAAATTCCTTTCTTTTTTTTTTTTTTTTTTTTTTTTTTTTTTAACGTACAAGAATAATCATTTTTATTGATATAATAATTTGTATAATTAAGCAGATATTACTTTTTCAAAAAAAATTTATATATATATATATATATGTGTGATAGTTTATAGCTTGTTCCAAACACACGTAAAGAAACAGAAAGAAACAAACAATGTGTTTAATTGCAACCGAATAAGTCCAATATCAATGCATCAAAAGTTGAGGTGGAGGTGGAAGCAAGGCATTGGGAAGAGCATGCATACACAACGTATATAAATACGTGCATATATATATATATATGTGTATAAGTAGTTAATGTTATTTAAAGAGAGCATCAGATGATAGTGAAGTCGAGGGGACCAAACCCTTGACCCTATCGAGTTTCATTATAAGATACATACATACACACACACACACACACACGTATAAACATATATACATACACAACATAATCTTGTACGTATAAATGTATGTAGGCACATAATAGAGACAAAAGGCAGCAGTGTGCGCAGAGCGGTTGCGCTTAGGTGTTGTCCTTGTTCGTCAGTTCATCAATACGCACAACTTGGCTCTGATTTCACACCTCATATATGTATCTACATAAACACCTGTACATATATATATATATATATATATATTATATACGTACAATGTAGATAGCTTGCTGTTATAATACACCCGGTACGTATACGTAGAGGTGCGAGTAAGTGTATTGTGTGCAAGAGTAATGTCATTTTCTTCCCGTTTGTGTAACGAGTGGCGATTCATAATGTCGCCGGCAGCAGCCAAAAAATTAAATGGTGAGTTTCAATTATTGGTAATAAAAAGACAAAAGCGGTAATTATTGACGGTAAAAAAAAAAAAAAAAAAAAACTCAAAATTAATTAATTACTACTGTTTTTTACTGTCATTTTCTATATTATTTACCGCCATATTTATTACACAGTATATATATATATATATATATATATATAACAATATTATCAACCACACACATTACCCACAAGTTTTTATCTCAATAATGGGTATAATTTTTTCTTTAAAAAATTATAATATATGTATATATATCACATGATTAGTAATATATATATATATATTAATAAAAATATTACGAATATGTAAATTTTTATTGTGTGTTATGAATATTTTATTATAAAAAAATTACGTCAAAAATAAAAAAAAAGGATATAATAAGTGGTGGATAAGGAAGTGTGTGCCTTTCAAGTCATTTATCATTAATAAATACACTATATATACATACATACATATATATATATGTATGTATGATACATGCAAATTGAGATAACATTGCAGAAATTTTGTCTTTTCGTATCTTTAGAATGCAATATTACAACTCTTGTGTATGTACCCATATATGCATATACATACATATATATATATATATATATATATATAAGGATATGTATGCATAGCTTCATCTTTTCTACAAACAACCTCTTTTTTTTTCTTTTTTTTTTGTATTCTCACGTTTCATTGCATGCAAAATTAATACGTATTAAGATGTAATTAAAAATAAAAAATAAAAAAACTTCAAATCTTAATTGAAAAATATCACGTAATCATTATGTCATCAAATGCATACATGTATAGATATACATATATATATATATATATATATATACACACATATATGTATAATCTAAATTTCCCCCCTCAATTTAATGTGTATGTTTCAGGAGTTGGTGATTTTTCTGAATCGGTCATTTGAGGTAGTCAATAAATTTTTGACTTTTTGGTCGGAACTTCTTTTTAAAAAGACAAAAATATAGGGTTGTGTCTATTTATTTTTAGATATAATATAAAAAAGTATATACATATATATCTACATATATATATATATATGTGTGTGTATATATATTACTATGTACGAGCATCGAACCAGGTTTTATGTGGGTAGCCAAGCTACTTGTAGGGTTCTAGCTCTAGATATGGGTCAACTAATTTTGTCTCACATTATATTTTTTTCATACATATATATGTGTGTATATATATATATATATACATGCATACATATATATATATATATAGCCAACAAACAAGTCCTACATAGCTATGACTCTGAACTTCCTTTCCCAATATCTCCTTTGTCATTTCTGTAAAAAGCTAACATGTTTTTACTTTTTGAAATTCAATTTATTTATTTATTTATTTAAAAAATTGGATTTTATTAATTTTATTAAATTTTAAATTATTAGGAGACAAGAGATGCTTAGCTTGCAAGAACTAATCAATATCAACTTTTTCAAAAAAATAAATTAAATTAAATTAAATTAAATAATCAAATAAATGCCAGTTATATATATATATATATACTTACACATATAGATATTATTTAATATTTTCCAAAGTAGTGAGTTAATTCAGTAGTTCACCATGCATTATTATTACACCAACTTGTACGTAAGTGACAAATTTTTTTTTTTTTTTTTACCCATTTTTTAAATCTCATATCTCAAAGAGTAATTAAATAATTAAAATTTAAAATTAAGAAAAAACCCAGA